CACACACACACACACACACACACACACACACTTACTTTCTCATCAGGAGATACCTCTTCAACTGACTATTCCACTCATGCGTTTGGTGATTCTCTCGGTTGAGGACACCACAGGCACTGAAGAGCCATCGGGCTGTAAAGCCTGTAATTCAATGCAATTCGATTCAATTCCATTGGGATATAGATTTCCACTGTTATCGAGGAGCAGCAGGCCTTTGAGGTTACTATGACAACAGATCACTTCCCTTTTATACACATGAGCTCTGCTCATCTTCACAGGCATTATTTTCAAACTTCCTGAGGAGACCTCCAGCAGCCTGCCCCCGAACATCGACTACACCATCCGAATGAACATCGAGAATGTCATGCGCACAGACCGCGTACGGAATCCCTTCTGGGTGAAAGATGCCTTCATGTCATCAACGAAGACCCAGCGGTACAACCGAGGCTTCGTGTACCTGCAGGAGAGCATCGAGAGAGCCATCATTGAAATGCAGACGGGTAAAGCCATAGATGGGCCCGCGGTCCAGATGCAGGCATTCCCTTATCCCTGCTACTACAAGGATGAGTGAGTGTCTCACAAGCACAAACCCTACATACACACTGAGCGTCTCATATGAAGACTGAGATGGTCATGCAAGAGGTGGCATCTGAACAAATAATCAACAGTTCACACCAACACTGAACATCTACTCCGTTTTGTTCACTAGAAATAACTCTAGTAGGATGGATGTCTAGTATTTCATAAAAATACTAGATTTGCATTTGTTTAATAAAACAGCACTGCTTGCAAGGCAGCAAAGCAATTTTGTAAGCTTAGGTTTGGCTTTGGTTCCATGTAGATGAAGTGCTGGATCATGGCACTGAATTTTCCGTTGGCTGTGTATGAGAATCAACATAAATTACATCATAATTACTTTGCATATTTTATTTTTATTTTTTTGCAATGTAAAGGTGGCATTAGATGTTTTAGATTGAGGCTTTAGATAGAAGCCAGTGTTGTTATTTTTTTTTTTTAAAGAGAAAATTATTTTAACTAATTTTTGGTCTTTTAAATACAGCTGAAATAAAATATAAATATGAGGTGAAAACTTAAGTTAAAATAAATAATATCTAAAAATGAGAAATCTTGCCTTTGCACGTTAAAGTATAAAATTACTAATACTAAAACTATAATAGATATAAATTAAAGCTAAATAGAAATAATAAATAACACAACTAACACAAAAATGAAAATGGCAAAATCAAATTAAATTAAATTAACAATTAAAATAAAAAGAGAAAATATAATAAAAAATCTAAATAATAAATCCTATAGCACTATATTCATAATACTAAAATAACACTAATAGATGCTAGAATGAGAAGATGGATGCAATATATTGACAAGCTTTTTCCAAAGAAAATGGATTGCAAACCAAATTAACGTCTGAATTACAGTAGTTGCAGAAGATCAATACTGTGGGTCATCAATTTAGACTTTTAATTTACAACGTTAATCAAACAAGTACTTGACATAAGTTAGTCAGTTCATCGCTTCCTCTTCAACATTTGAAGTTATATAGAGTGATATGCATAACAAATGTGCCCTCCACCTACTAATCTCAAATCTTTCTACCCCCCAGGTATCTCAACAGCATCGCTTTTGCCTTCCCAATGGCTCTCATGATTTCCTGGGTGCTGTTTGTCGCCCACTTTGTGAAAAAACTCGTCCACGAGAGAGAACTGCGACTTCATGAGGTATGGAACCAAAGCATATTTTTTCTTTAGTCTTTTCCCACCAACTTTAATTAGCTTTCTAAAGTCTTTTCATTCTTCCCACAGTACATGAAAATGATGGGGGTCAATCCCGTCAGCCACTTCTTTGCCTGGTTAATTGAAAGTGCTGTGTTCCTGCTGACGACCGTCATCATCCTCACCATCATTTTGAAAGCTGGCGGCATCCTTCCTCACAGCAATGGCTTCGTGCTCTTCCTCTACCTTTGCGACTATGGCTTCAGTGTCCTTGCAATCAGCTTCCTGGTCAGCTCCTTCTTCGATAAGACCAACATCGCCGGGCTGAGCGGCAGCCTTATCTATGTCATCTGTTTCTTCCCCTTCATCGTGCTGATCCACTTGGAGGACAATCTTTCTTTCAGTGTGAAGAGTGCTCTGGTCTGTACTGCATTTAAATCAGTTTGCAATTTAACATCATTGCCAAAAAATGACATTCAGTTCGACGTTATAACTTTTATTCTATTCTTTGTGATTTCTAAAACACTGTTCTGTCATGGTGGGGACCTGTTTGCATTTTATATTTTTTATTTAGACATTATTTAGTATGTCTATTACTGCAGGAACCAAATATTCTCACACACGCACAAAAGTCCCAAGAACAGCATGCTTTCTCAGTAAATGCAGGAAGAAATTCTTTACGGATAATTTATTTATAAACCAAAGCCAGGCGGGACATTTAACAAAAGTCATTTGCATTCTTTGTATGGTGAAATTTAATTATCATAGCAGCTCCACAAGTGAAATATCACCCATAAATGTGAATCTGCATCATTCGTAGAAATGTTAATGCGAACACCAGCAGAGGACTAATGTGCAGGCCGTGGCAGCGGCAAAAACATCTTTACATGTAATATGTCCATGACGAGTGGGGTTATAAAGTTGTTTTGTTGAATTATTGCAGACTTGCATATCCATGTTGGCATTTTCTTTGTTTTGATCTGTTTTTGTGCAAATGAGGCTGTTGCAGGAATTTACCTCAAGTCAGTATTGTTATAGCCATATGGATATATATTTGACTGTAGTTTTATCCAAAAAAAACATTAAGTACACATTGTTTTGTTAAAAATAAATTCTTAAATGCATTATGGTTTTAACGTCAGTTTATTCATGAATAAAGGAAGAGTTCACACCAAAAAATATCAATTATTTATTCACCATGTCATTCCAAACCAGTTTGACTTACTTATAACAACTCACCTTTTGTAAGAAAGTAATGTAAGTGACATGATGGTGAGTAAATGATGACAGAATTCGATTTTGGGTGAACTAGTCTTTTAAATGTTTTAATCGATTGACAGCTGTAGTATAAATCTCACAGTGTTTGTTTTTGGTCCACAGAGTCTCTTTTCTCCGACATGCTTCAGTTACGCCAGCCAGTATATTTCCCGCTATGAAAAACAGGAAGAAGGTATGCCGACACAAACCCCTCAGACTGTCTTTAATTAGTGTTTTTTTGGGATAATTACATTGACTGAATGCATTGTGTACTTACACCTCAGGCATCCAGTGGAGCAACATGTATATCTCTCCTCTGGCTGGTGACACTTCCTCCTTCGGTTGGCTCTGCTGGCTGCTCCTCATTGACTCAGTAGTATATTTTATCATTGGGATTTACATCCGCATGGTCTTCCCAGGTATGTGTATGAGTTACTCAGTTGAGAAACTCATCAAATTTTGTTTGTGTGGTTAGGTAAAAATAACCAATATTCATTTTTAGTAGCGGAGGTATAATCTTATTGATAAATCTGTTTTTCTCATAATCAGGAAAGTATGGCATTGGTGTTCCGTGGTACTTCCCAGTGACTCGGTCCTTCTGGACAGATATGTTCAGCTGCTGTAGCAGAATGCCAAAGAAAATAGGCAGAGGGCTGCTCTTTACTAACATGATGCACGAACAAAACAACACTGACAAGAGCAAAGGTGCATTATTACACAGTACTTTGAAATACTTGATTCTGATTGGCCTGTAGCAGCATTGAGCAGTAAAGTACTTTTGCCTGAGTGCATATCTGTATGTTCGAAAACATACAGTATTGGTGCTATTTTCATGTTTCTCATATCACTTTTTTAATACCAATCAAGTTAGAGTAACGAATTGGTGCAACAATTACAGACTGAAGTAGAAACAGAGGAAGACATTTTATATTGTAGCTAACTATTACATTACAGTAGAAAACAAATACTGTAAAAATACAGTAAAAACAGTAATATTGTGAAACATTACAATTTGAAATACTTGTTTTCTATTTTAATATATTTTAAAATGTAATATATTCATGTGATGACATCTGAATTTTTCAAATTTGCTGATTTGTTAATCAAGAAACATTTCTTCTTACTATCAATGTTAAAACAGGTTATAATACAATACAATACAATACAATACAATACAATACAATACAATACAATACAATACAATACAAAACAATACAATACAATAAAATACAATGTAATATAATATAATATAATATAATCATATTTTTTGTGGAAACTGTGATACCTTTTCATTTTAGGATTCTCCTTGAATAGAAGGTTCAAAAGAACAGGATTTGTTTGAAAAATATTTTTGTAACTTTAAATGTCGTTACTGTCTCTTTTGATCAATGTAATGTCCCTTTATGAATAAAAGTATTATTTTCTTTCAACTTTTTGATATTACTGATCAAACTTTTGAGCATCTGAGAGATTTGCTTCAGATCTATTTGCTCAAATATACTTGCACACTCTACCTTCTTTGAAGGTGACACAGATTGTAATTGTAGGATAAATTTTAATCCTTTCAATTTCTGTGTGATATTTTAACATCTTTGCTTCTCTTTATCTATGTCCCTGTAGGTAAAAGTAGCTTGGCGGGTAATGGAGAAGAAGACCTCTCAGGATTGCCTGTTGGAGTCTCACTTTATGGCCTGACAAAGACCTACGGCAACCGGCATGCTGTAGACAATCTGAACCTTTCTTTCTATGAGGGACATGTCACCTCTCTGCTGGGTCACAATGGAGCTGGAAAAACCACCACTATGTAAGAGCATAACAGCATATTGCATCTTCAAAAAAAAAAATAAAAACGCTATTGGTTTTAATAAGCATAAAAACGATTTTTTTTTTTATTTGAAAAAATGTATTTTCTTGTTTCAGGTCACTTCTGACAGGGTTGTTTGCACCCACCAGTGGCACCATTGAGGTGTATGGGATGGATATGCAGACGTCTATAGATGATGTGCGTAAGGAGATGGGCGTGTGCATGCAGTATGATGTCCTGTTTGACCACCTTACCACAAAGGAACACCTGCTGCTATACGCTCAGATCAAAGCTCCCCACTGGACCAAACAGGAAGTGAACGAACAAGTGCGAAGGTAAGTTTCAGTACTCGTCTTATAGTATGTTTTTATGTCGTTCTGTAACACTCCCTTAGAGAAATTAACTTTTTACAGAAGCTATATGTTATCTTAACTCATATTACATGTAGGTTTCCAATGTGCCCTTAATGGTGTTGGGGAAGCTACTTTAAACTACTTAAAACTACTTTACTTTAAAACTGAAGCTTCCCATAATAGAACCTACTCATAATTTAAAGTAGTTCAGCTGCTAAGTCAAACTACATTGACGCTCTTTAAAGGGATAGTTCACCCAAAAATGAAAATGTTGTCATCATTTACTCACCCTCATGCCGTTCCAAACTTGTATGAGTTTCTTTCTTATGTTGAAGAATGATGGTAATCAAACAGATGATGGTCCCCATTGACTTCCATAGTATTTCTTTTCCTACTATGGAAGTCAATGGTGACTAACAACTGTTTGGTTCTTCAAAATTCTTCAGAATATCTTCTTTTGTGTTCAACATAAGAAAGAAACTTATATAGGTTTGGAACGACATGAGGGTAATGATCTGGCTTAGAGGTTATTGAATGGCTTGGTAGAAGTTTGTTGGTTCAAACCCCACAATGGATGATCCATGAACACACTGTGCCCTTGAGCAAGGTGTATTGGCTCAGATCACTGTAGATACTGGAAGAGCATCAGCTAAATGAGAAATTTGCATTAAGATGGTCCCTCTTTTTCCTGTCTTAGAATCCTAATGGAAACAGACATGCACGCCCACCGCCACAAGCGTGTCGGCACCCTGTCAGGAGGTATGAAGAGGAAGCTATCCATCTCCATTGCCTTCATTGGAGGCTCACGGCTGGTGGTGCTAGATGAGCCGACCACCGGGGTGGATCCCTGTTCCCGACGCAGCATCTGGGACATTGTCCTTCAACACAAGCAAGGTGAAATCCCCTTGCAATTCAGACCAGGCTGAAAATAATTCCCTGGCTTGTACCTGTAGCAAACTCCCCAAAGGACTTTGTTCTTATCGGGTATCCGACACTTGGTTGAGAATTTAATTAGGCTTGAATGGATTTCCTCAAGGTGCGTGCAGTCAAATCCAGACAGGGAAAAATCCAGACGCAGATGTAGTAACGACTGATTGTTATCCGTCATGCTCCCTCTGATGTTTAATTATCTTCCGTGGAGACAGTTAGCGAATTTATCTCGATCAAGGATTTAAGACCGTAAAAGAGGGTCATGTCAGATTCTCCTGTGTTATCGTTGTGCATCAGCTCTGTCTGCCTGTATCAGTGGATCTTTGATTTGACATGCCTCTGTATTTGGTTTTGTTTAACTGTCCAGAGCATACCATCATTCTTTCCACCCATCACCTGGATGAGGCTGAAGTTCTCAGTGACCGCATCGCCTTCCTGGAGCGCGGAGGCCTCAAATGCTGTGGTTCGCCCTTCTACCTCAAAGACAAGCTGGCTAAGGGCTACAACCTCACCCTCACAAAGAAGGTACATGTGTGTCAGTGTGTCAGTTACTCCAACTGAGTTCTTACTTGAGTTCAACCCTCATAAAAACTGCCATGGTAGTACTGGAGTACAGTACAATGGTATAAGATTAATATCAAGATACACTGATATACACAAGCATTCAAACATTTGGGGTTGGTAAGATAGAGTAAAAAATAGAGTAAAATGTAATACTATGAAATATATATATTTTTCCATTCAAATACTTTTTTTCCATTTAAACACATTTTTAAATGTAATTTATTACTGTGATAGGAAAGCTGAATTTTCAGCAGCCATCACTTCAGTCTCCAGTCACATGATCCTTCAGAAATCATTCTAAAGCTGATTTGCTGCTCAAGAAAAATTTCTTATAATTATCGATGTTGAAAACGGCTGTGGTGCTTTATTTATATTTCTATATTTTATCTATATTTCTGATACCAACTTTGATCCACTTTTTTTCAGTATTATTTGATGAATATAGCTTTCAAAAGAGCAGCATTTATTTGAAATAGAAGTCTTTTATAGCATTATAAATGTCTTGACTGTCACTTTTGATCATTTTAAACCATCTTTTGCTGATTAACAGTATTAATTTCTTTAAAAAAAAAAAAAACTTACCTACCCTAAATTTTTGGTCATTATTGTATATATTCAATGGCATATAATGATTATTGTATTCATATACCTTGATATTACTGTGGTAATATGTGTCATTGTGGTGTTCCAGAATTTATATTTTATAATTTGTCTTATTATCAACATGCATTTCTTTGTTTTTGGTTCAGGTTCAGACTCCTGATTCAAACGAAAAGTTTAACATTGAAGAAATCAGGGCTTTCATTCAATCCTACCTGCCTGACGCTCGGCAGAAGGAGGGAGATGTGGGCGATTTGGTCTACGCCCTCCCACCGTACACCCCCCAAAATGCAGCTGTGTACCACTCTCTGCTCACCGGTCTGGATCAGAATCTGGACAAGCTTCAGCTGGGCTGCTATGGCATTTCCGACACCACCCTGGAAGAGGTAATTATCAGATGAAGACCCAGCTGCAGGACTGGATTATGGACTCGGCCAGTTCCGCTGGTCTTCAGACTGCCTGCCCAGCGACCTTTAAAGCCTCAGGCAGTGCAGCCCAAGACTGCCAAAGGAAGCTGAACCATACTAGGTTCCCTGGGATTCTTGGCTCATTTTGTGCAAGCCCCACAGTTTGATTCACTCCAAAATCAGATTCTAAGTAGGGCTGGGAGATATTTTATTATTGAAATGCTATTTGTGTAGGCTACTTATTTCAGTAATCTAATGCAGGGTTTCAGTCAGTCATTTTTTTTTAATATTCTCTCAGAATTTTTGTCCAACTTGTGTGTCTGCCTGTTCACACCAAGAACAATTACTATAAAGATTATCGCTATTGCTACAGTTATTGTCCTTGGTGTAAAAAGGCTTTAAATTATGAAAAAAAATTTTTTTTTTGACCTTTGCCTTTAAAGATGAATTTGCATGCTTCAGTATTCCCAAATCACAAATTGCCACCAGTATTTATACATTTTACACTGAGAAAAAAATGCTGTAGGGTTTACAATCTTCATTTGGAAATTCCTAGTAAATTTGTAATAATTGGCAAGTAACACATTGAATATAACATGAGATTTTGAAGTTGAAAACTTTATTTACACAAAAAATATAATTTTATTTAAACAATATATATATTTTTAAACAATGTACAAATACTTACATTTCAATCAAAGTGCATATTATTTATGAAGGATTGGGGATTTTAGAACATGTCAAGTAAAATATGGTTAACATATGAAGTAAAAAAAGCGGGGCGGGGAGGGATGTTAAGAACCACTGCAATAATGTTATCCTAACAAAACCATAGGAAAACATGATACAACCCTGTCCAGGTGCACTCATAAAGATGCTGTGTTTTCTCAGGTGTTCCTGCAGTTGACTCGAGACGACTTGGAGCCTAAAGAAAGGGAAACCTGGTCTGTATCAGAGTCTGTGATAGCGAATGACATGTTTGCCTCAAGAGACAGCATTCCTGACGATCTCAACAGCACGTACCTTGGAGAGAAAGCCAGTAAGTGGGCTGTTAGGACTAGTTTAGATTCTTGCAGCAGTTTGTGGAATATTAGTTCTATGACCTGTACTTCCCCAATTACCCCTTGAAAGCTTTGAACTTTGAAAGCTCATCTTTAGAATTTGGCTGGATTGAAGAGATATTATGATTTCCTCTGTCTCATGTGGCACACTCTCTTCTTCTCTCTTATAGGCCTCACTGGGACCTCAGCCATGCGTGGGTTTGCTTTGACTGCACAGCGGGTGATGGCCATGTTGCTGAAACGTGTGCACCACTCCAGGAGGGACTGGAAGGGGCTGTTCTCCCAGGTGTTGTTGCCTGTACTCTTTGTAATTGCTGCCATGGGCCTGGGCTCCATCAAGAGTGATCTTCAGCACTTTCCTAAGATTGTGCTCTCTCCTGCTCTGTACCACGTTGATGAACAGTATAGCTTCTTCAGGTTAGACTCACTTTTTTCTGTAACTTGCCTGTGATTCAAAAAAATTAGGAAATATGGGTACTGCTGAAATACAGACATTTTAATTTGTTTTAACAATCTATTCATTTACATCTTTGCATTTTGCAGACACTTTTATCCAAAGTGACTTACATTGCATTCACAGTATACATTTCATCACTCCATACATTCTCTGGAAATCAAACCCATGACCTTGTTTGTTTCATATTTTGATGATCTACTTAAAAGAAGGTTGATAATGTTGTTACCACTTAATGCATTGTCATCTGGTCATTATTGAAAATATACCAACAATTATTTTATTTTATATTTAATTAAATTTAATTAAATTTAATTAAATTTAATTTAATTTTGCCTAAAAGGTTGATTTTTATAAATGCAAGAAGTAAAATACAGTAAACTGTCGCATCCGGCAGATTATCAGGCAATTTTTCTTTAGAGTTTTTTTATTACTAAATGAACACAAGGAAATAATTACATGTGATCATTTTTATTTATGCAAAATACACAATAAACAGCAGTATTTACCTCCATATACTTAATATTTTACTACAGCTTTTCAAAGCATATAAAATGCCTCACCATGACTTGCATGAACATTTTTGAGTGATGATGCTAACTAATTGTTCATTGAATGATACAAAAAACAGATTCAAAATAACTGATTATCTGCAATATTTTGAATTCCTTGCTGTCAATGAGGTTTATTACAGAGATGCTTTTAAAATACCTCTTATTATTACGGGTCACTGGCACAAACCTAGCTAATTGCCACATTTTGCTGATGCAACTAATGGCCAAAGAAAAGCACATAGAACCATTGCAATATTTCTAATGTTGTTTATTTTTTGTCACCATCAAAGTAATATCAAATACAGTGTAATTTCACCCAGTCTTAATCATTGCCATTGCATGTTCTCTCCACAGCAATCAGAATCCCACCGCCAACAGTCTTTTAGATTCCATGATGTCCTATCCAGGCATTGACCACTTCTGCATGAGAGACCCCACAAATTCGTAAGTAATCATCCATATGTCTTAGTGACCCAGCACTCTGAGCTCAGTAATCAGACTGCAGGCCGCTCTAAGCCATGAGTGATTACATATCACAGCATCAGCCCTCCTAGGCACTGCAAATGGCTTTCATTTTTGCCGGCTATGATTTCAGCCCCTCTGATCTTCGCAGGTTTGCTCCTAAGCTCTGGTCGCCGTCTCTTTTGCTGAGCCCTGGGACTCTGATACACTGTCTGCTTGTATCAGTGGGTCTTCTTGTGCTCCTGGTCCATTTCATCACACTAATGTGCCACTTTTAGTTTTCTATCACTGTTTTTTATCATGCTATTTTCCCATCTCGGCTCATCTTACTTTTTTTCCTCATTACTCTGTAACTCGCTCACAAACACTCCCTTGCTTTCTTGTTCACTGTTTTTCTATTTCTCTCTTTCACCCACACATCTGAAAGCTCTGCCTTTTGTAATTCCACTGTAAGAGCTTATAATAATGCTCCTGTATATGGGCGTAAATCTCACAGAAGAACCTCTCTGCACATATTTTTGTGAGATTCACTCAGGCATCATTTGCATTTCTCATGCATTTCCTGTTTATAGGATCGATTTTTCACTGATACCTTCCAAATAATCATCACACTGTTCCTGCACGTAGAATATTGTATTTAACATTTATTTTTTTACAGGGTTTGCAAAGAGAGACCTACTGCAGGAAGTGAGACCTGGATCTCCAGAGGCAACAGCTCTGCTACATTTACCACCTGCAAGTGTAGCAACCAAGTGCAGGTGGGTCAAACAGAGCATAACCATCATAACAACATTATCACATATCCTCAACGATGAGCATCTCTCAGCATTTAAATATTGATAAAGATCATTAGTGTTTTGATAGCGTGAAGGAGATTGTTCATCACAGCAGGGTTGCGCGCCCTTCAGAATTGATTTCAGAATGCCTTTTAAATTCAATTCCTGACTTTGAGGCAACAACGAGGCAACGAACACAGTGCAGAATGAAAATTCTAATTTGAGCTAGTAGAAACATGGAATGTTTAATAATTATAAATCATATGGTATATAAATCATATAATGAAAATAATGTAATGTAAAAATTATGATTTTTCAGTATAAAGTACACATAAACAGTATCATGAACAAAACATATGTTATTTACTTAAACAATATATTTTATTAATAATTTATGTTTGAAAGGCCACCTATTAAACATATGTAATTTGAGTTATGACTTAAAAAACGCTTTCATGGATATGTTGTAGTTCTTCATGAAATTAATCAGTGTTTTTTTTAAGGTATTCAGTTTAGTTTAACCTATTTCAGAGAATTTAACTTAATTTAGGAAAATATGTCAACTGAGGAAAAAGAATTACATATTATAAATAGGTAAATAGGCCTAATTAGTCAAGTTAATGATGTAATAAATAATGTTTTGTCACCAAATTTGTGTTGATGTTGTGCCTGTTCTTCTTCCTGTCATTGCAATTCAGCTTCCTGTGGGGCGTGGCCAATTCTACCCTTGGCAGGGATCAAATTGTTAGATTTAGAGTTTTTCCCAATTCTCTATCATGGTTTCTGTTCAGAATATCACTCACTTTTCTCTCCCTTTCAGTCATGTCCTGCATCCGATCACGAACCACCTCACAAAAGAAATCCATCATCCCAGATTGTTTACAACCTGACAGGCATCAACATAGAGGACTACCTGCTGGCCACTGCCAATGACTTCATCAGAAACAGGTTTATCACACATAGCACTTCACAGCATTAAACAAATTTCATAAGATATTTCCTTTATGTCACAAGTTCAAAATATGGCGAGGTGGAATATTAAGGAATTTATGAACCGCTGGTAGGCTGATTAATAATTAAAGAGGAAGCACTTCGGTTTATCCCGTCTTTACCGTGGCATTTCCGACCAGCTGACATTTTCCATCCTAGTCAAATGGCACACAGCACTGGGGTGTGCTGCTGGCATGAAAATACTTTATTACACCTAAAATAGTAAGGCTAGCATTTATTATTCATACATTGCTCTTCCAAAAAAATGTAATATAATACACAGCCCTGCCTCTGTGTGGTGGTGAAAATATTAATAAAAAAGGCAAATCACAGCTCTTGTAATAAATTGAGTGGAAATTCAACAAAGGCATAAAACCATTAATTAACAGTATATCAAGGAAAATGTCTTTAGTGTCTGAAAACACTAAATTTATTGTTAAATAAATTGAGAATTAATGTGTACAGAATGTAGGAAAGAACATAAATTTGCATGCGCAATCCAATTATTAAAAAAAAAATTTTTTAATCCTATAAACCATGAAGTTTAAAACCTACACAAATGTATAAATGCCATCAAAAAAATAAATTAAAAAAAAGGTTCCAGTAAATGTGTACAACAAGTGAACAAAATGTTACACCAGCCAGGAATTATGAGCCCTACCGTAAGTTGTTTTGTGCTTTGTTTCAGATATGGAGGCTGGGACTTGGGAAAACCTCTTCCCATTGATCTTAAGATGGACATGTTAGATGTGCCAGCGAACAGAACCCTTAGTAAGGTAATTTGGATGAATGATATTACATTGCCCCAATGGCAAAGTGGCTCATTGTCCCAACGTAGCAGTTTATGTAGACACTAACAGGCTATGTTCCAAAACCAAGTAAGCTGCCATGTAGGCAGCATTTTAGTGCATCAAAATCACCCTCCTGATGTGAAAGCTGTTCCAAAATGTAGGCAGTATAATTATGTTGCCCTCTAAGATGCTTTTTTTGGCAAACTTTTAAGGCAATATTGCATGCATTCTTTGTGAAAAATGCAATGTGGAAAAAACCCCCCATTAAAGATGGCAAATGAAGCAGGAGAAAGAGTTCATTCAGTACCAAAAAATTGTTGAGTCTAAGTACAAATGCACTAGTTTACCAAATATTATTACCAAGCTGTGTATTTTTAAGCCTTTTAGAATACTAAGTTGTTAGTTTTCATATATTTTGGAACAGAGCATTTACAAGGTGATTACTAAGAAATATTTGTGCATTGTATTAATATTTGTGTTCTCACAGGTTTGGTATAATCCAGAAGGTCACCACACCATGCCTGCCTACCTCAACAGCCTTAACAACTTTATTCTGAGATCCAATCTGCCACTTGAGAAACGACAACAATATGGTTTGTTAAATCTCTCCTCTAAAACTGTGTAGTTTTGTAGATTTTATAAATCTATATTTTGTAGATTCTAGAACCTATAAAACTTCACGTACACTGCCATTCAAAAGTTTGGAGTCAGTAATGTAATTTTTTGAAATAAATAATATATATAAAAAAAGATCCATTAAATTGATATTGATATAAAGTATTAAATATATTTAATATTTATAATGTAAAAAAAGAATATGTTTCAAATAAATGCTGTTCTTTTGAACTTTCTAGTCATCAAAGAATCCAGGAAATAAAAATATGAAAAAATGTATTGGGGTTTCCACAAATATATTATGCACCACATCTGTTTTCAGCACTGATAGTAAGGAGAAGTGTTTTTGAGCACCAAATCAGCATCTTGGAATTATTTCTGAAGGATCATGTGACTGAAGACTGGAGTAATGGCTTCTAAAAATTCAGCTTTCACTTTACAGGAATAAATTACATTTTAAAATATATTTTAATTTGTAATAATATTTTAAAATATTACTGTTTTTACTTTATTCTTGATCAAATAAATGCAGCCTCGGTGGGCATAAAAGACTGCTTTCAAAAACATTTAAAAAATCTTACCAACCCCAAACTTTTGAATAATAGGGTATATCTAATATTTTTCACGTTGCGTAACAGATGAAATGTGTTAGGTTAGCTTGAGTTAATGTGCACTTAGACTTGCATATCTAAAGTTTTGACTTGCTGTGTAAGGTCTAATCCACTTAGCAGCTTATTCTGAGCAAGAGCCGCCCACTTAGACAGGAGGAGACCTTCTAACTGACTGCAAAGAACACAGCTAGGTTCTTCTTGTCTTCACGTATCAATAATTACTGAGTTTATCTAAAATATGCTTTTTTGCAATACTCTAAAATATAATCCTTGCTTCTGAGACTGAATGTGAATGTAATTCCACTACCCTTAGACAGAGGGCAGTGTGTCTTTTCTGTCTCGCACCATGAGGCAGAGCGGGCTGAATGCTAATTAGAGGTGCTGAGAACTGAAATGAAGGAATAGAGCTGGTCTTATTTCAACACTGCCAGACAGGCCCAGTGGCTGAGATTCACTGTCCGCCTCCAGGCAAGATTAATGCAATCCCACCAGTCAATAATGGAAAGGGGGGATGCATTCATTCAAATGTAGCCGGTGAAGTCATTCAGGGCAAAACAGAGCATAAATTCAGAAAAGGTTCATGGGAGGAGCAGATCGCCGGTCATGTGTTTGCCGGGCAAGTGTATATTTTCTCATGTGCTAAAATCTCTCTTTACAGCCATCTCTATATCCAGCCACCCTTATCCTGGCCAAGTGCAAGACGAGGATGTCATGTAAGCGCACACACACATAACCATGCATGCTCGCACGATAGCTAAAACAGATAAAGTACTCTGTGGGACCAAATACAGACTGAGTGTATTAATACGGCCGGTACAAAATCACAGACCCAGTGGTGGGGAAAAGAATGCAATCAGCCAAATGATGGGCTTTAGATAAGATATGTAAACATTGCTCTGACATTTTCATTCTAGTGGAGCACATGAACTAATGTAATTTGACTCCTGTATTTACTCCTCTTTGATTTTCTTCCTGAGCTTGGCTTATTGATTACTAACCCAATATAATGTGTGTTTACTCTGAAGGTGGTTCGGAGGTTAATTGATTCAGTGTCGCCACCCAAACATGCTTGTATTTTGAACACTGTGGGCAATTTCAACCGTGCCTAAATTTGAAAGACACGCTCTGTAAAATGAGCGCAATTGTTTCATTCTCGCAGCTGGGATGAGTCTGGCTTGACGCCTGCTACTTAGGCCTGAGAAAGGCATTTCTTGAGAGGGGAGACAACATGCAGAGAAGGCAAGAAAAGGAAAAAGAATAGGTTGGCTACTCAAGAAAGCCTCTGTGAGTAGCTGAAAAGAGCAGACTTATATCAAAAGCAAAGACCCTTTAAGGCAAGTCAAGCACTTGGTGGCCATGTTGGTAACCGCCTCAGGCAGCTGTTTCAAGTACAAATAGAGTGCTGCAGGAATGAGTCCTGAAACCCAGAATCGAGTTCGCATTTTGAAACTTCCAGTGTTAAATGGCTGAAATAAGGTCTGAGGTTAACCCAAGCTCAAAATATTTTCACATTTTATTCTACAACATGTATACATCAGTAAAACCCCACTCATGATTTTTTAAGCTTATATGTGTCTTCAAAAATGCAGTTGCTAACAAGTGGCTAGATGAGACTACAGAGATTGTTGGGGACATTAATCGTCCTTATGCAGAACAGGAACTCATCTACTCGCTATAGTCCACTTTTACTGGCTTGTTGTATTTTTACTCATGCTCTCGCAAACTCTCAAACCTCCTCCCAACTTGTAGATTTTGAATAAAGATTTGTTGGAAACTTAGTGCTGGCGACAATGAAGACATGTAACCATTTACTTCTACCAATTGTGTTTAGGCTTCAAAATTTATAGAAGTTGTGTTCATTTGTGAAGATGATACTAATGAACCAAACGTGTAAGAATCATAAACTTTTGTTGGTCACAGAGCTTATTTTCTGCACTAATCCAAAAGCCTTTGGAAGCCAATTGGCTTTTTTTCAAGGGAACCTTTCTTCAAAATTACGTCATCCCTGCAGCACTCTATTGAATCTACTTCAAAATCTTAAAAGATTATGTTTCAGTTACATATTTTAATGAGTGATTGCTAACCTTGTCTCATAGCTGATGAAATCTGATTGTTTGATGGTAGCCATATTTTTGAATTATACATTTGTTGTTATAGGAAGGAAGGACCAAATTGATCTCAAGCGCGTTTTTCTCAGGCACTCTTTACTTAAACTGCATCTGACAGAAGTGTCAGCAGCTTTCATGCACGTCTTTTAAAAAAAGTCTTGCATCAGAAAAACATTAAGAATTATGTTTTTTGTTGTTGATGTCGTTTCTTTGGCTGTACACTCCACGACCCACTCAGAATGGTCTCACGACCCACCAGTTGAGAAACACTGGTCTAGAAAAGTCTGAAGCTGAAGACAACCAGTACGATCTAGTTAGTTTCTTATCCTTTGACTTCATTGATCCACCAACTGAGCCCTTCTTATCTGAATATAAAGTGATCTTCTCTTTTTCGTTCAGGCTCAACTCTCTGTGGTATAGGTCTTCTGTCTTTCCCTGAGATCAGTTCGTTCTTATTTGTCCTCCATTCTCAGTATTTTTTTTGGAGGCACAGTTGTTGAGAGCAGAGATGGGATGCAGAGGGGGTAGTAGTAGCCCTTTATTGTCACTGGTCAGTACCAGCGAAATTAGCCATCCACCTGTCCATACATACAATATGACAAGGGGGTAGACAGGACAGGAGGACAGGGAATTTAGGAAGAAATACAGCATAACATGAGGGAGGGGAGGAGATAAAAAAAACAGACCCCAGACTATGCTCCTATGGGGAGCACAGTGTGGGAACAGGAAAAAAAACACCTCAGCAACATAGGCACATCAATACAGCGTGAGACACACGACTTGCAACAGGGTAGGGGGAGAGGGGGGTGGAGGTAACCCAGCACAGGCAAGCAGCCATCCGGTCCTGCAGCCATTCTCGGCGCTGATCGCAGACCCGCTTAAGTGTAGCATTAAAGGCAAAAGCTCAGCTGGTGTCTGGTAGAAGGAGAAGTGTCCTGCTGAGACTGAACTCTTGATCGTCTCTGACTCTGTCTTACACAATTCTAACAGATAGAGAGATCTTAATTCTTACAGCTTTCATCTTTTCTCCTCACTGTGTCTGATGCCGTTGTAAATGCATCGAGCTTGACTGAAGAACAGTGTTAAGCTCATGTGAGAGACTGTAGGACATATGAAGTGCAGTTTGTATTGTAAGGTTAAGACAGCATGACGTGCATTTAAATTGTCTCTCACTGCACTTGACCACTGCCGCAGAATATCTTCTGCTCTGCTGGTGTGGGTATAAAGGTACAGATATGTACCTAGTTACTTTATTATTACACATTTCAGGTCTTAATGTGAACAATTTTTTGGTGCATATAATAAATGTAAACTAGTAAGACTACTGTTTAAATGTTTAGGGTCAGTAAGATTTTTTTTTTTTGAAAGAAATTAATACTTTTATTGAGTATAGACACCTTAAATTGATAAAAAGTGACAGAAAAGATTATTTCCAATAAATTGTTCTTTTGAACTTTCTATTCATCAATTAATCCTGTATTAAAATGTGTTATAGTTTTCACAAAAATATTACACAACACAAAGGTTTTCAACATTGGTCTGAGGTTAACAGAAGCTCAAAAAAAAAAAATATATATATATTAAAACAGAGAAGAGTTAATAGTAATAATAATAATGATAATAATTCACAATATTGCTGTTTTCATTGTATTTTTGGTCAAATACATGCAACCTTTGTGAGCATAAAAGACTTCTTTCAACAAATGTATGTATATATAAAATATACAAACTATACAAAATTCACCAATGTATAATTTATTTATTTATTTTTCTAGTATATACAAGTGGATACACAAGGTCAGATGCTCTCAACTCACATGTCTTCAAGTCCATGTCTTTAAGATTGAGATCTTTCTTTTTGTCTCCTCAAGGGTGGGCGGTTTGGTCAGCATCCTGGTTGCTCTCTGTGTTCTCACTGGCTACTCCATCATGACGGCCAGCTTTGTCATCTATGAGGTTCAGGAACATCACACAGGCTCCAAGAGACTTCAGCAGATCTCTGGCATCAGCGAACCTTTCTACTGGATCATCAACTTCTTCTTTGATATGGTACTTCAGTATTAGTTGATAGATTTCAGCCTTTGAGATCAGTTGCATTGATCTGTAAAAAATCCAAAAACCATGAACAAGAAATTACAACCTACACTACATGAAATACAGGTTCAATTGGAATAACAATAACCATTATATAATTAATTGAATATTAGTAATATCCAAAACAGTATAGCACATCAACGCCATGGTTTTGATTACCAGGGAAGGTAAGAACTAATACCTTGAATGCAATGCAAGTTGCTTTGGATAAAAGCATCTGCCAAATGCATAAATGTAAATGAACAAAAGTGTTTAATATGCATATTGCATAAGACTGTTTGTATTTACGAGGTCTTTTCTATGTCATTGCAGGCTCTTTACATAGTTCCCGTGGTCCTCTCGGTGGCGATGATAGCAGCGTTCCAGCTCCCAGCATTCACTGACAGGCAGAACCTCGGCGCGGTCACACTTCTGCTGGTGCTATTTGGGTCAGCATACATTAGAGTCCCTTTACCACCAGAGATTTTCCTGTCACAAGACAGACGTCTCATTAGAACGTCTTCGAGCTGACAGGTCCTCAAGGCACTAGAGCTTCATGAATGTATTATTCAGCAAATGCTACATGTCGCAGCATTGGCAAAAGAGGAAGTTTTAGTTAATGTGTCGTCTTTCAGGTAAACACCGGGCTCTCTGCTAGAAAGAGGAGAGCTGCTCGAAGCTTTCCTGCAAGGCCTGGGCTCTAAAGAAGCGATTTCACCCACTCCGTCACCCAGTTAATTGCATTGTGGAGAGCAGTGAGGCCACTCACAGTCAGTCTTTAGGCTTCAGAGCTCCAGGCTGCTTGGGAGGCCCTTCATTGTGTGAAGTCAGCAGTCTGGCCCACATTCATCTGCCTGTGAGCTCACCGGCACTCGGCCCATAAATAACCACACATCACAGCGATCCCACCACTTTCCCTTCAACCTGCTTAATTGCTTTTGTTTAGCTGAGCGGTGTGGACTTTCCAGCACTAACAATACACGCACAAAGGCCAGGGAACGTGCACATATACACACACACACACGGTACCCCCTCGGTTTAAACACATCCTCTTCCTTGACCCCGTATATATATATATACTGTATATATATATATATATACTGTATATATAAAGTTGGTGTCAGTTAGTGTATATTACAAAAAAGTTAGTGTCACATGATCCTTCAGAAATCATGCTGATTTTCACTGGAAGAAAAATGTCTTATTATCTATGTTGAAAACATAAATTTTTTCATCATTCACTTTGATGAATATAAAGTTCACAAGAACAGCATTTATTTTTAAATATAAATATTTAGCAACTGATTTGACTGTCAATTTGATCAATTTAATGCATCCTTGCTGAATAATAAATAAATAAAATTTTAAAAAATCTTACTGATCCCAAACCTTTATAATATAATATAATATAATATAATATAATATAATACATTTTCACCAGGGAAATAAGATGATTTAAATAGACCTGAGTAGCTTTGCACATCGTTCTTCCTTCTCTAACTTGCTTTCACTGTCTATTTCAGAGCATCCAGAATGTGTACCATACCATGAGCAACATATTCCTAGTCTTCCCTCAGTTCAGCTTTGGCAATGGGTTGATGGAGTTGGCACGGGTTGACATGCAGGTGCAGATCCTGAGCGCTTTCGGAGTGGACGCCTACAAGAACCCCTTCAGCATGGATGTTCTGGGCTGGATGTACATCTCCATGTTCCTGCAGGGTTTCATCTGCTTCACGCTTCGCCTGCTACTTAACAAGACGCTCCTTCGCAAAGTCAGGTATACCTGAGGCTCTGGCAATATGGATTCAAACTGGCTGGCACAGAACTACTTTTTGAAATTTTACTTTGTAGTGCAGTATACAATTTTTGTACACATATACACACACCCACACGGTACCCCCTCGGTTTAAACACATCCTCTTCCTTGACCCCGCCACCCCAATCACCAAGAGTAATGAATAAAAAAGCAGATCATTCTGTGGAGCTGAAGAGGAGAGAGAATGCTTCACGAAGAGGAAATAGATGAACTCATTTATCTTCTGGCCTCTTAGCTCAACTGTGGAATATATTCTCTCTTTCTTTGCTAAACTCAAAGCAGAAGTCTTACTATGGCTCTTTTGTCTTCCTCCATGTTGTAATTCTTCTCTTTAGATGTTTCTTTGAAGCTTGCCACTTACCACATTGATTTCATGGTTTCTTTTCAGCTTCTCCACCTTCCCTTGGATGTATCTTCTGTCTGCGGTATTCAAGGATACAGAGATGGCCTTTTGGATGTACATCTCCATGTTCCTGCAGGGTTTCATCTGCTTCACGCTTCGCCTGCTACTTAACAAGACGCTCCTTCGCAAAGTCAGGTATACCTGAGGCTCTGGCAATATGGATTCAAACTGGCTGGCACAGAACTACTTTTTGAAATTTTACTTTGTAGTGCAGTATACAATTTTTACATTTGTTATGCATTTGTGTATTTCTTCGTAGATGGTTAGTCTGCTGGAAGAAGAACGTTGTTCAGAGCTATAGCCCCAATGAAGATGAAGATGTGGTGGCTGAACGTCTGCGTGTGGACTGTGGCGATGCGAATGCCGATATTCTGCAGGTTAACCATCTGACTAAGGTGTATCAAAACCTGAACAAGAGGGTACAGGCGGTGAAGAGGCTGTCTGTGGGCATCCCAGCTGGCGAGGTCTGTGCTATTTTCATATTAATATTTATTATGAGAGCGTTTACATGCACAAGAAAATTCCAGTATTAAAATAAACATAAATTGGTTTATAATATATATTACCTTTTCAAAAGTTTGGGATAAGCAAGAAAATAATTTAATACTTTTATTCAGCAGGGATGCATTGAATTGTTTAAAAGTGACTGTAAGGACATTTATAATGTTATAAAAGATTTTGATTTAAAATAAATGCTGTTCTTTTGAACTTTTTATTCATCAACAAATCCTGAAAAAAATGTATCATGATTTCCACAAAAATATTAAGCAGCAAAAACTGTTTTTATAAGTACCATTATTAATAGCTGAGCACTAAGTATGATGTATAATAACTGGGCACCAATTGATCATGTGACACTGAAGACTGGAGTTATGGCTATTGAAAACTGCATTGCCATCACAGGAATAAATGACATTTTAAAATATATCAAAATATTAAACATTTAGACTTTAACGTTGTAATAGTATTTTTACTGTATTTTTGATCAAATAAATACAACCTTAGTGAGCATAAGAGACTTCTTTAAAAAAAAAAACTTTTTCTCGGTAGTGTTTCCAATTGTCAACATAATAATAATGATTTTGTGCAATGAGAATTGACTGGATTGTGAAAAGTTGGTGTTCCATATTAATATTAGGATTTATAATACTCAAAAAATGTGTACTAAGAAAGTACTTTCGGTAAATTCAAACATTAAACGAAATGACCAAATCAATAATAATTTAACCACAATGTGTTATTTATCTGAAATTGTGCATGTAGATGTGGTCACAGAGGGGAAATGCAGCTATATTCCCAGAAAGTCTTGTTCAAGGCACTTGGCGTATGCTGTGCTTCATTATATTTCCGTTCTGAATGGTTTTTCATAGAAGATTTATTGAGCTCTTAAGAATAATCGATGACAGCAAAACATTCAATGTAAATGAATGGAAGGTCAATATCTTCCTTAGTGCTTTGGATTGCTGGGAGTCAATGGTGCAGGAAAGACCACTACCTTCAAGATGCTGACAGGAGACATTAGCCCAACTGATGGCTCGGCCAAGATTCGTGACATTGACGGGTACCTTTAAAAACTTGATCGTTACTTTTACTGTTGCTCACCATTTTTTTCTAATGCACTCAGACTCTTTTACTGGACATTTGTGTTTGGTTTCATTGCATGTTCATAAATCTCCCTGGCCTGTGTCCTCAGGAGAATGGTTGACATCATAGACTGCAGGAGAGAGGGCATAAACATTGGTTACTGCCCCCAGGTGGACGCACTGGATGACCTCCTGACTGGAGAAGAACATCTCTATTTTTATGCCCGCATCAGGGGCATCTCCAAGAGGGAGACTGACCGGGTAAGGTCACAGCTATATCAATGTCTGTTTCGTTCTGGCCAAGGCCAGTTTCTTATCAAAGTGACCTAGAAAAGTGCATGTTTTCTGTTGTGATGATACCTCTGTGTATGGTTGTCAAAAATGTACTTAAATTTCAGTATTTGATACTAGTCAAAGTGCCTGTTTCAAGAACTCAGAAGTTTGGGGTCAGTAAGATCTTATTTTGAAAGAAATGAACACTTTTATTCAGCAAGGATACAGTTAAATTGATCAAACGTGATCAGTGCATTTATGGTGTTACAAAAGATTTCTATAGCAAATAAATGCTTTTCTTTTGAACTTTCTATTTATCGACAAATCCTGAAAAATGTATCATGATTTCCACAAAAATATTAATCAGCACATCTGTTTTCAACATTGATAATAATAATAAATGTTTCCTCAGCACTAAATCAGCATGTTAGAATGACTTCTGAAGGATCATGTGACACTAAAGGCTGAACTAACTGGCTGCTAAAAATTCACATTTGCGATCAATTAATTACATTTTAAAATATATTAAAATAGAAAACAGATATTTTAAATTGCAATAATATTTAAAAGCATCACTGTATTTACAGTATTTTTGATCAAATAAATGCAGCCATGGTGAGCATAAGACACTTTGTTCAAAAATGTCTTACCGACTCCAAACTTGAACAGTAGTATGCTGTGTATATATATAAGCAAATTCAATTTAAAGTAAAAGTCATATATGCACAAGTTTAAAGGCAGTCAGCTGTCAGTTAGTAAGCACTTGCTAAGAACTTGCTGAGTCAGTACTTTGCCGATAATACAGAGAGACGGACATCATTACATTTTGGCATCAATTCGATTTGGAAATTCTGGTACTTTTGACATCCCTTATTATGTGCAACTACATTAAATGTATGCTGCTAATAGAGTTTGATGATTTGAAATGAGAGGCAAGAGATGAGGTGAAACAGACAGCTATCTGTTAAATCATGTCACAACCCACTGACATCCTTTAACATTTTAAGAGAGATTTTGCATCTGTTTTTCGTCAAGTGGTACTCTAGCCTGATAACGTCTTTCCACACACGTAAAAATGTCAGGAAATGGAGGTTTAACAAGTCATTTTGAAAGGACCAGCATATATTTAGTTTGAGATGCTGCTGTTGCCACCAGGCTTTTTAACTCTTAACTAACTTCACCGGTTTTTCATCGACCAGCCCGGAAATCCCTGCTGGACTTCTCAGTAAGATACGAATAGATCTTAGTTTACTATAGTCCGAATATTGCATTTGACAGGAAATGGTTGGCTCTCCTCCACATTGATTAATGAGGAAGCTAATTAATCTTGCATTCTCTCAGGATTATTGGTAAAAGGCACTTCTGTAAAACTTGCCTTTGGCTGCAGATGTGAACTCTTGATCAGTTTTCCTAAAGATTGAAACACTGGTCTGAGGGAATATTGCTTGCATAAAGAGTTGCAATGTCATATTAGCAACTTATTATGAATATTAATTTCAAGTTGGAATAGCGTTTCTTATTAAACGAAACATTTTTTTGAATGTGTTCAATTTTGGCTATGTGTAACAGTGAATCATAGCTTGATTGCTTTTATAAAGCAGCAGCAATGTCAATATGAGAAAAGACACCAAGGTTCAATAAATAGGTAAATGTGTGGAATAAATGAGCTTCTAAATCAAATTATAGAGTCAAAGACATCCATTTTTGAAATGCAGAACCGGCTGTGCTGTTCTCAACAGCTAAATCACTGAAGATACACAGGAGAACTGTTTAGAAGATAAATCACATTGGTTTATGTCTATTTTCTTTGTATTGCATCCGTACAATATTTCGATCAAGAAGCTCCATTATGAACAGAGACTGTGACACACATTTATGAGTTTATTAGCACATGGCTCAAACACGCACATACCTCTCTGTCAAGCTCTAACTTAATTCAGGGTTGTCTCTGCTGGTACTTGGCTAGCCTGCAGAAAAAGAATCTCAAATAATGCATATAATCTTTTACAGTCTTAGAACCTTCTCAAAGGTGAGTCATCCACAGAAATTGTGTAAAGGCTGTCCCTTTGTGGATAAAAGTCCAAATTAAGATCCTTTCTATGAAGCTTGCCGCCTACAGTATTTGATTACATTAGTTACATTTTTATAAATTCATTCTTTACTCAACCTCATGTTTTAAAACTACAGCATATGACTTTCATTCTGTCAAGGAAATGCTTTGAAGAATGTTCACACTGCTTTTGTTTATACAGTGAAAGTGGATGGTGACCAAGGGCAAGAGTTTTTAGGAAATAATTTGTTCTGTTTCTCACATAAAGCTATCGACTGGCTTCAGAAGACTTTAAGAATATTAATAGTAGTATCATCATATTTGACTACTTTTGTGCTGCTTTTTTCCCCTTCTGGAGCTTGACAGTCTCTGGTCACCATCCACTTTCATTGTAAGAGAGCTGCTTGAACATACTACAAAAGTTGTTCTTTTGCTTTATGTTAATAGAAAGAAAGTCATACAGGTTTGAAATGACATAAAGATTAGTGAATTATAGCAGAATATCCATGTTTGGCTGAACTAACACATTAAATCTTTATGTAAAGTTAATATAAAGTGCAACTTTGTCGAAAATGAAGTAAAACCGGCACCCTGTAATGATGATGTTGTATAAAAAGGGCAGGGAAGGAATTGACTTAACAATCTATGAATATCATCAGTCATCTTTTGGCTACCAAGGCTTTGTGTAAAAGCTGCTGAAACTTTGAAATGGCTTTTGCGGTTTGGCCCATTAACTTGGATTAGAGGATTTAGAGGAAACGGCTGGTAAATTTTGATGTCCTGAGGGAAGTGTGCAGTACAATGCCGACCCAAAAGGATGATCTGTAGGTGCATATAATCCGTTACACAGAGAGTTCTTTATGGTTTCTTGCAGGTTTATGAGAAGCTATTTAAATTCATAGAATGTCTACTTGGATCCTTTGATGTATGAATCCAATTAGTTAAATGAATGCAGAAACCATGACGTGCTCTGTGTGGGGTCAAATGTCAACAGGCATTTAATCAAAACATTATTCAAAGTGACTCATTATGATGTCAAGACCACACAGTTAATGTGTTAGAACAACTTGTTAAGCCTTTTTGGGGACAATTATTGCTTTGTTAATCAAAAATAAATTGCAGGGAAATTATGACTGAACTATAAGTGTGGAATGTGCTTTAAAATAAGGCAGCTTCCTTTGGGGGGGGGGTGAATACAATTGTGATTTTTCTGAATAAAAATAGCAATTTACAATGGCTTGGCTTGCTGTGCTTGTTTATAATAATAATAATAATAATAATAGTAATTAGAAAATGTAAAGATCAAATGATCTGCTTTCTCATTACCATGCCGCCTTTTCTTTCCAGGTTGTGAACTATCTGTTGAAAAAGTTGGAGCTGAATTACCACAGACACAACACAAGTGAGAGCTACAGTTGCGGAACACGCCGGAAGCTGTCGACAGCCTTGGCCCTGATCGGAAACCCTCAGATCCTTCTCCTGGTGAGCAAAACATGCATATTATCCTACCAAGCTGAGACTAGTTACTGTTTAGTAAATCATACAGCTACACTATAAATCACTGTATTGCATGTTGTCTTGAGTGTTTGCTCAGAGGGGTTTGAATGGGTAAAATGTTGCACACTTGTTACAAACACTTCTGAAATGCGTTGGTGTGCTGTTTGGCCAAAGTCTCATAGCATAACAGTTATTCTGACTTAAAATTTTGGCTCGGTGCATTGCACGATTGCATTTACCTGGAGAGTGTGTGGGTTTTGCATTAGGTTTTTGTTCTGTAAGCGCAGAGAAACATCCCACGTGTTTCTTACTGTACATGTCTCCTCTAACCTCTCAGGATGAACCCAGCTCTGGAATGGACCCGCGTTCCAAACGTCACCTTTGGAAGATCATCTCTGAGCAAGTGATGGGCAAATGTGCTGTGGTCCTGACATCACACAGGTAATGATCGCTCCTGACTCACGCTGCATCGGCTCCTCCAAACAAATAGGTGGTAGTAATGACGCATTAAGGCAAAACTCTCTTAGACCAGGGGTTTTCAAGCTTTTTGATACTAAGAACGTACAAATATGAAGGACATCTTTGTAAATTATAAAGGCAGCTAAATATTTTCATGTACTGTATACAGACCCATTTGCACTGAGAAAAATATTAAGCATAATTTTATTAAGACAGTAACTGGCCTTTATATTGTCATTGTACTAAGGAACAGTGGTGTATTGTAACGAAGTAATAATACTTCGTTACAGTACTTAAGTATTTTTTGGGAGTATCTGTACTTTACTTGAGTTTTTATATTTCAGCCAACTTTTACTTTTACTCCACTACATTTCCTAAATAAATATATCCGATACATTTCCCTGAAGCATATTCGTTACTTACTACAAATTAGTCAGAAGTCAGAAGAACACGGACTGCAGGAAAGCAGGTTTTGACGAATCAATGGTTTGGTGTTTGCAAGTTAGACTCATAAAAAACACCTTTGCTCATGTGCAAACAAGTGCGCGCACAACGGCGGATGATTCATTTTCCACTCAAGTCGAGTCTGGGGTGTGCGATATAGCATTGTCTGCGATAATATGGTAAGTGTTGTTGTAATGATGTGCGATCTGACATTATCAATTAGGCTATATCATCAGATCACACA